ATCACCCTGCAGGCATTGCTATGGAGACAGCAAGATAGCAGGCATAAAAAGCCTCCTAGACAGGATAGGTGTGGGCATCCTTACGAAGAAAACAACAATAAATTCTCATCGTTCCCAAAAGACTTCAGGGCCTTGCCATAAACACTAGTCCAAGCTTTGGCACTGACTAACATATCAAATCATTTTTGCCACTTGTTTAAGTGGGTTTGTGGGGTATCTGGTATTCTATTAGCAGCCCAGGGACAAGAAATAGCAAAGCACAGACCATTCTAGTCTTTTTCACAAAATGGGCCCCTAATTGCAACAGCCATTATAATGTCATATAATCACCTAAATGACTTTAATAATGCAATTTAACTACATAGGCAAAAAGAAAAAAGCCTAGGGATCTTGTCCTATGACACCAGTTTCCACTCAAGATGTTATGGAGCACACGCAGAAAAGGAGAGCGGCAGCAGGTACCAAGCTCAAGAAGTGTCACACGATGTCTCACGATAGTGTTGCTTGCATTCAGCGCCACGGAAGGAAGTCGGACTTCAGGGGAAGAACAGCGACAGCTTTTGCAAAGCAAATAATTGCTGTGTAGCCTAATAACAGAGTGGGCTGGGCGGCTGCTAGAATTTATTCCCTTTCAAATTTAGCTACTCCACACAAATAATTCATATTCTGTGACACATGAAGCAAGCCCTTGGTTAGCTCTGCAGAGCAGGTGAAGGGAAGCAGGACTGCAATAAGGCTTGCAGATTTGTCCTCTGAATATTCTGAGCAGAAATAGCATTTCAGGCTGAAGGGAAGCCAGGAGCCGTTGGCTCCCACACAGCGTCGTATAGGTAGAGCTGCAGAGCGTTTGCCAGGTGTCCAGCTAGACCCTAAATGCTACTCCGAGTCTGTCTGATGGACGATACTTCCAGAGGCACCCAAGAGCATCAAACGTCTGAATCCTCAGGCATCTTGGAGAAATGAATCATCCCACTTGTGCTTCCTTTCAAAATGAATTTCAGCATGATACTAGGGCAAAGCTAAAGCGCAGAGAGCTGCTTTTCCTGTGAAAGCTAAATCTACTACTGCCCCAGCCAAGGGGGTCCTTTCGTACCAAGGGGAAGCACATGAATGAAGAGACTGCATTTGTAAAACAGTAAAAGTGCCTTCTCAGCCCCCAGAGAAATGCAAAGTGCGTTTTACACTTAACTTACTGGGTTCTGATTTTTTCCACCTCAAAATAAGCAAAAGGAACAGCATAAGAAAAAACGCGTGTCTTCAAAGACAACAGTAAATAGACCGTTTAGATTTTTTTCCAAAAAATCACTTGCTAGTGCAAGCTCCGTAATCACCTAATATTTTTTCAGTCATAAAAACACTACAAAAGCAGATATTATGCATACATGTTATGTTTCATTAACATTGGACCTATCTTTGATGGAAAAGTCTTTAAAACACTAAAACTGTCAGTGAATGACCAGATTGTCCTGAAACCAGACCAGTGATGATCATCTGAGAACCCTGATATTCAGTCCCGGCACAAAGAGAAAACAGATAAAAAAACAACAAAAACAAAACCACAAAAACTCCATACCACTTCTACAATTACTTTCAATTGAGGAGCTATGTCCAAAGCTAAATCTTTGTTAATTAAATCAAATTGCTTTCACTTGCACCTTCATTTACTCCACTGATGTTTGGTGATGCTCAACATGCAATTGATGACAGAACATGGCTCAGAGGTTGCATGCAGGGTGTATGCACTCCACCTTTCCCATCAGTATTTCAAATCTCAATTACAGCAGCCATCACCTCCCTGACTTTGACATCCTGCAGGAGTAAGAAAATGAGGCAGGTGAGAGGTGATCGAGACTTGTACTAGCACAATCAAATTTCAAAAGAGGATACATCACAAGACCTCTTCAACTGCATTAAGTCTCCTCTTAGTTCCTGCAGGAAGGGCTTAAATCTTGGAGATGTTCAGCTCTGGCACTTGTGCTTGTAGTTCAAGCCTCCCCGTTCTCATAATACCTGAGCGTTTTCTCATTATACCTATAGAGCATATTGGCACTGTATGAAGCATTTACCACATCTATACGTCTTTTAGGAGAGACATATAGAGACATAACAGTATTACGTGTAGAATCACAGCAGATAGGCATTATGTAGGCTAGATGGTGTTGGTAGAGACACTAAAAAATGATCCATTGATACACAGATACATTAAGGGCATGAAACACCCCAGTGGATTGACATGTGTAACCTCCTGAGTTACCAAAATTAAATCTCAGACTACAGGAGTGAAGCTAGGAGAGATGATTGAAATTCTCTGGTTGCTAGGCATTTTATGGAAAGAGGGCACATTCACTCTTCTTATTAAAATTCATAGAAATTGAAAATATCCAAAAGCCCAGAGGGGGTGGGGTCAGAAAATCTATTTCACAGAAACGGGAAGCTTCCTCTAAATTCACCTTCAAAGCACTTTCCCCATCTCAGCCTACCTGAGAGCCTTTTGATTTCTCTCCTACTTAGGAGATAATTATAGAACTTGTTCTCCTTCCTGACTCATGCATACAAAAGGGGGTCACTCAAAATTTTATGCACATTATCATGCTTTGTTCCTACCCAGATACTGGTTGGAAATTATTTCTGCTTTGCTAACACTAACTTATCTAGCAAGCTTTGTTTGTATTTCCTTCATTTTCCCCTGTTTTGTCCTCTGGCCCTGTCATTTGATATCACAACTGCTTTGGCATTAAATATTGCTGAACTCTGCTGAACTTAAATTTTCCTCTTTGTCTTTGCTTTCTCCTTTAATTTGAAATTTATTGTTGTCAGGAAACAACGACACTCAGGCATGTGGAGGCACGTTAATCAGAGTCCATACGTTGCCTTTTCCTCAGGAATTACAATTCTAATAGATACAAACCCAAAGGGAAACTCCAAACACTTCTTGAAAATACTGCCAGGGGCATCCCAATAGCCCCAGCAATGAAGAATTTCATAGTATGAGTTTAAATTTCCAGTGCTAGAGACTCAATTCCTGTACTGTGACCTGGCCTTGACAATTTCAAAAATGTTTTATTCCCTGCACAAAGGGACAGCATAAAGAAAAGACAGATGATGGGAAAACTCTGCATGGTCCCATTTCACTATCTAGAAACTGACCCTCTTCCCAATACTCCTACAGTTGAACAACAATATTGGTGCATTAGCTCCCCTCCCCTGCCCCCAGAGGCTCAAGAGGACCAATTACACCATGGGGTTAAAGGCACTGCAAAAGTGGCATATTGAAGTATAACCCAACGGTTGCCATCACAATCACAAGCAGAGAAGCAGGTAAATTAGCTTTTGAACATTGGCAGACTGAGGCTTGTTTATATTTTCTACTAGTTTTATATATGATTAATTTGACATTTATTAATAAGCACAATGCTGTTAAGATTAAACACAGTTTAAAACATCATTTGACAACTGAAACAAAGCTGTTTTATGAAAGTTAGTAGCAGCATCAAGCCCCTATCTGGTAACTAGCTACACATTTTTGCAAATGATATCAAAGGCCAGTAAGAACACTTTCTCCCCCTCAATGCACCAAATAATTAGTTTCTCTCTTTATTAAGAATATTCTTCCAGAAAGGTTTTGTATTTTGGTAATAACAGACAATGTGGGAATGAAGACTCCCCACAAAACCCTCAGAAATGTGAGCCGCTTTGGAAACCATCACAACTGTGAGTACATCAAGCAAACCATATTTTGCTTCAAGATCTTCCTGTCAAGGTATTAAGAACAAGTATTCTTCCTCTGCCAGACTGCGCTTTATACAGCATTCACTCGATCAGCTGCAGAGCCTTCTTTCCTATTCCACTGAGATATATTCTGCAGGATATCAACTGTAGTTTTTGAAAAAGCCTTTCTACATCTAAGATGATGCAAACACTAAGGGCTATAAATATTTTTTATACACATTAAGTGGTGCAGAAATTGAAACTTTTTATATTCTCCCAGTTCAAGCTTTAGTTTAGATTTTTCTCCTCATTCCTTTTTCCTTCTTTATTTCCTTCCTCTTTCAGAAACCTATTAAGCACCTGGATGAGGCCTTCCCAATAAATCAACAATCTAATACAAAATGATTGCCGTAGTACTCCACATATTGAGTTTCTGTTATACAGATAAAATCATTCACCTTATGCTCTATATTTGAAGTTCATTTTAATAGTTTTTAAAACACATCAATAAAATGAGTGCCTGACAAAAATGTGAATCTAGAGACATGATGCTGAGTCTTCTTGTCTGTTTTTTTCTGTACTTTTCCAATAAGGCATAATAGCCATCAATATACTGTGTTCGTGGAAACAAAATTTTTTTTTCCAGAACTATAATGAGGATAAGGAGGTTAAGTAATACCTACCATCCTGCTGATGAAAAAAAAAATCGTGACTGTTTACCATAATCAACAAGAAATTGTTGATGAATTCTATGAAATAAGCAGCTTGCTCATGAAAAACATGAAAGAAAAAGATGACAATATTTTCTCTAAAATTCTTATATCAAAAATCCCTATGGCATCAATATATAAAGCAACACATGAATTGTAAGACTTTTTCCCAGCAGCCACGCTGAAAAAATATCTTTTGCAAATATTATGTTTAAAGAAAAATCTTTCAAAACTTTCTACCTATCTCAGATTTACTCCATGCAATCAGCAAAGAGAAAAGGTGGATTAAGGAAAAGCAAAGAATAGAACTCTTTGTATGATAGCAGCAGCCAAGAAATAATGCCATCGTGCAAGTTTTGACAACAGCCATCTGCCCAAACGCGCTTGGTTGACCTGAGGACAGGCTTCCTGACAGCAGTTGTAACTCCAGCTGTTGCACGATGAGCTGTGCTCTGGTCTTTCATCACAAACACAATACTGAGGAGCTCTAAGAGATTTGTGCTTTCTGGAAACACCGTCCATTGACTGAAAGAAATATCTCATTACAACACCCGCTTCTTCCATCCTGTACCAGTGACTCACCCAAATGTTCCCATCCTGGTGGTAGGGCTTCCAGTTCCTCCCTGTATCACTGTAGAGCATCCGATACTGGCTCACCCAGTCCGAGCTGCTGTATCTGCCCTGCGTTGCGACGGCACTCAGCTGCTTCCTGCTCCCGAAGTCCACCTGGAGCCACTGGTAGTGGTCGCTGTCAGAGGGAGACCAGCCTCCTGCGCCTGCCGAGGGGGAACAGAGAAAAGATTTTAACCCCCAGGCCCTCGTTTTCAAGTGAACATGGTGCAAAAGGTGCTCACTGCTGGAAGGCAGCCCAACGGAGAGGAATATAGCACCAAAAATATTAATAATGAAAACCACTGCATACAAGAGAAATAGGTTTACACTTTTTTTTTTTTTTTTCAAAAAGGCTCTTTAGGACAGGCTTCAAATACATTAACATTGTTGCCTTAATCATTTCATAATATAATTGTAGTAATTTAATAGGTTATCCTGCTAACGAATCAATGCCTTTATAATGCCTTAATTAGCGTTTATTACTTCATGCCAAATTAAAATTGTTCAAGGGTTGACCAGCTTGCCATAAAATCCTTTGTCAGAGTCAGTTGGCACAAATCAATAACAATCTTTGGATGTTGTGTGCCTTTTCAGTAGCATTTCAAATTAAAGAGATAACAGATTAAAAGGGAGGAAATAACAGCAAGTCCTCTGCTCTCCTGTGTTCCAGGAGAGTGCACAGCCAGAAAAGACTTTTCCCAGAAGGACTGAAGACAAGAGCAGGTGTGCAAGTTGCCCCAGAGTACATTGTCAGGTGCTTCACAGAAGTGTCCTTGCTCTTTATGGGACTAGAAATTAACTCTATACCAATACTGTTATCAACAGTCTCAATCACTACACTGTATTGAACAGACCTTAATAAACATGATAATGCTTAGATAAATGTACTGCTAAAGCATTAATGCAATTTCTTATTTTACTGACATAAAAATACTTAGAGGAAAATTGCAGCTAGGTACTACACAGGATTATAACAATTCTAAGAGGGTTATTATAATGATGATTTCGTAATGATGAAATATATCACTACAATGTATTTACCATGATTTACCTTTGGAAAGAAAGAAAGTTTCAAAGAAATCCCTCACTGCTGAAGAGGCGCTGATGTGGGTTCAGCAAAACTAAGGGCTAGTAATGGCAACATTCAAAAATTAGTATGAATTACAAAACTGGCTACATCAATCAATGACATGATCTTCAGCAATGCTCAAAAAGGATATCCACTAAAACTGTAATAGAGCTAAAATACCTCTCATGTTTCATAGACTTTTTACACATGTGGTAAACAGCAGATTTTGTTATGCACATTTATAACGACTAGCAGAGCTGCAATTAGACTGCAATCACATATGTTTCTTCTTTTAGTGCATTCATGCTACTGACGCCAGAAATTGGCCTTCAGCATACTCATGCTTTGAGAATTGCAAATGGATTTTTGGAAAGCATTCCCAAACCATTGAAGAATTTGGAAAAATAAATAATAAAATAATAAAAAAGCACAAAGGAAGTAAACTTTTTTTTTTTTTTTCATCTGATAAGAGATGGATGACAATCAGCACAAGATAGCAAATGCAAGCATGGGTGCAAGGCAGGTAGCAACACATACACAGAGTCTTCTTTCTCATTTATTAGAAATTAATGTAATCAATTATAAGGCAAAGAGGAGCAAAATGTATTATCCCATTGGTTTCTGGACCTAATTCTCTACCTCGGTTTCACATTTGCTTTCCTACTTTGTGAAATTATAAGTAGATACATCAAAGTTGTCTCAGCTGGCAGACAGTCAGAACAATGAAGAATGAACATATTTGCTTATCACTAAATGCGTTCAGTAGATCATCATGTGAAGGGAATGGTGATAAGCCTGAAGAGGAGGGCAAATGCCAGACCTTGGCCAGAAGCACACTGTGAGCATCGATGGAAAGCTTCCCCTTAAATTAAGTCATCAAGCTGCTTAATTTGGGGAAGCTGATTACTTTGGGAAATGGGTAACCTTTATTGATTCAAGGATTAAAAAAGATACTTCTTCTTTTATCAGGTACGCACTCCGGAATAAGTCATAAGAGAGTTGGATTATATAAAAATATTGCTGATGTGAGATCTTTGCACAAGTCCTGAATTCCAATGATGTTTTGTCCCCATTCAGCAGACCAGCAAAGCACTAGATGCACAGTAAACAGGCACCCAAATTCCCACATCCTTAGAAGCGTGCACATACACACAGCTCAGCCTACCATTGAATATTTTGCTGGATGAAGATGGTTTCTTCACTGGAACGACCACATTAGAAATGCAATGAAGGAATTGCTGACAAACCAAGATACCTAACATATTCTCCCTTACTAAAGAGGTGGCAAACTTGGAAATCAAAATAGACTTTCTCTATAATGCTATATGCTGGAAATACACTTACTTTTAGAACCTTTATGTTATGGCAAAATAATGAATTGCCAAAATAACCAACATTTTAGTACTCTGCAATGAGCACTGCTTTCTATGGAAGTTGCTAAGGTAAAAAAATTGTTGAAAATATGGTATTCACAGCATCATTCTTCACACCTTGGTGGAAATTATTTTTATTGGTTACTAATTATATTGTCATTCTTTGCTTTTTTACTACAGCAGAAAAAACCTAAATGCATGATTTAAGATACACTGTTCAGTTATACTTCATGTACCTCCTTTAATGCAAAAGGCCACCTAATATATTGCATGCATTATATGAAATCAATCTGAGTTGCAAACGATTAGGAAGACATTAGAACTACAAAGAGATTAAGACATTAGACATAGGTACTTAGTAGTTTACTTTCATTGAAGAGGTAATGAGCATATATGGGTTTTTTTAGTAGGAAAACTGCCATAAGTAAAATTGCAGACAGTATATCCTTCCTAATTTACTTTTATTCTATTCTAGAATTGGATGTGATTAAATGCATTTACTCATTCAGTGGCTAAAATAATCAAGAGAGTTACTGAGTAGTTTTATTTAGACTGTACTCTATTACACAAACAGGGTAACTGATATCAAGTTAACAAAAAATGACTATAGGTGGCCCTTTAACTATATATATGATGGAACTGTAAGAATTAAGTGATAGCAAATTTGACATCAAACATACTTATCTTTATATATTTGTGCATCTAAGAATCTTTGCTATACAGAAAAAAACGAAGTGTCTGAAGCAGTAAGATTCTGGTTTGGAATCTGAACCAGAGCGTGCCAGTGCTGAAAGGAAGCAGCTCTGGAAGGCTGGTTAGGTCTTTCTTTCAAAACAAACTGCACAGAATCATTTAATCTGCTCCTACTGCAAGCTGACCAAGAAGAGTGCAACAAGAGGAGTCTAATATTGGAGAGAAATACGGAAGTTGCACAGAAGATGCATAAAACTATATCTGGAATCCTAACAATTTTTAAAACTTTAACCTTTTCATGATTTCCCCTCCTCCCACAAGTAAAGAAAATTGCTTAAAACAGCTGACAGATTTTTAACATCATTACAACAAGAACTTAGGTTCCCAGATTTGGATTTTTTAATTAGGGAAACCTAAATGACTCTCATGTTTTCACTGCATTTTCTTCTACAGCTTCCCTATGTGAAACTGAAAGTAATATGAAAAACTGCTTCTCTCTAGATATATAGTTCTAAGAACAAAGAATTCAAGATAACGTGGGTTCATTTTTGCAAGATGTCATGACCACCACAGTTTCTAATGTTCTTACTTAATTAAGCATGCATTTTAACTTCCTATTTGAAGCTGTACAAGTTGCACATTTACTGCATACTAGGGCAGTTGACATGATGAGCTGGCTTTACCTTCTCATAACTCCCCATGATAAAATTTCAATAATATCAAAATTGAGGTACTCTTAAAGATTATTATTATTATTATCATTTAAACTATCAGGTACTACTGATCCTCCAGATCTGAGAGACACAGCAATGCTTTTGGAAACTCTCAGTCTGTTCTATTTTGATTAGAAATCCTTCTTGTAAAGTTTTGGCACTTTCACCATAATTTCACAGATGAAACAAGAAAGATTAATTTTCACTATAATAATCAATTCTTATTTTAGTCACTTGTTCTTCACACCTTACTTCAAAACACAAAATAAAACACCAGTATGGCCAGAGAAGTCTTGAAAAATATTGAGAAAACCAGAGTTTTCTCTGCTTTTTGAAATTAGCAAAAAAAAGTCTCAGTGTGATGAATGAAAGAAGGAACAGACCCTTACTTACAAATTACATCAGAAAAACAAGCAATGAAGAACTATACATAGAAGATGTAAGATTTGTGGTACTCCTAAATGAAGGGTTTACTTATCTCAGAAAACTCCCATAGCCTTTCATTAAGGAAGCCAAGAATGCACCTTTTTAAAAGTTACATACAAATAACTAGGAACAGTCTTAGAGTGGAATTCTGCTTATTTGTATGGGAAAAACAAATCAATTTTTCAATGAGAAATAGCACTTTCTAGGTCACTGCAACTGCATAAAATCAATATTGTTTGATACTTTTCTATTTTCTAAGACATTGCTTGTCATGCCTCTACATAAAAGAGAATCCAAGGCAAAGAGGAAAACTTTGAAATCCTGCGATGATGCATTGACTGCACTTCAGAGACAATGCAGGCACTCATTTGCTTATAGTACTCTAGAAAGCTTAATATCAAAGACCCAAACTTCTGAGCTGCATTACTTATATTTACCTGCATTGCTTATGTATACCTGCATTGCTTATATTTAAGTAGGACTTTTGGAAGCATCAATGTCAGTGGTATTTTCCAATTTTGGTTTGTCTTTTCTTGTTTATCCATTTTATCTTTATAGATACTGCTGTATATAAAGGTAAAAAACCACATTTTTTTACACATTTAACTTAATACACAGCAAATAATATCTCAGCAGTGAGCGGCCCTGGTCACACTGAGAAAAGTAATATACATATCGAAGACTTGGATGATTAAACATCTAATATTTCATGCTGCTTGCAGCAAGATTTTTCTACCTCATGTTAGGCAGAGTATTCTTAACAAAGAGGCCAATCCTTACGTAAGACTACAGTGCTAATAGAAACAACCATTGCTCCATATTGGCACAGATAAATATCTAAGATTTCCTTACCATAAATAACATGCACTTCTATGTTCCTTGTATCCATC